TCACATGTGGTGCAAGTTGACATTTGCATGAACATTTTCAAATACATCGACGCTCAAATAGAAATTCACTTCGTCGATTAAAAATTATAAAGAATATCATACTTTTGATACTTTACGTGTTTTCACGTGTCACGTGCACTCTATATACTTTCAAATTTTGCGCAAACGTGTAAAAATCTGTAGTCTATTAATATGTTAAAAAATGAAGGTGCATACGTGTATTGTTTAGTTAGGTGATACAACGTCATGTACGTGTGTATATATATGTATATGCGATATCGAGCACGAAAGGATCGAGATACTATTTTCAGTTTAAATGGTCTATTATTAAAATTCTTCTCTTCCTTTGTGCGATATATCTTTATTCCCGATATTCCTTTTATTATTGAATTCCGTTATTGAATTCTTCTCTACATTACTGAATTATTGTTTCGATAATGTGATAAAACCACACGAGAGAAGATGTAATTTTGTACGTGCAGTTATGAGCGTGTTAATCAGGTTATTTCTATATGTCAGAAATTTCTTTCAAAGAAGAGACTGGAAATTTAACAAGAATCAATCCGTTTCTTTGTTGAAATTTGCACGAGGATGATAAAACACATCGAAACGCATATCGGCGCGTCAAAAGAATTGCAAACGAATTTTAAAATATTGAGATGATTACTCGTCCTTTCCTAGTGATCCATTCAAGAACGTAAGATTCGAGAAAGAAGCGTAGAAGCGCAATATCAGAATACTCCTTCGTGACTACTTCCTTCGTGAAAATTTTCACAATCCACGCCTTTTTTCCAGAAAACAATCATTCTTAAGGTTCTTGAATAAAACACGCACTCACACAAAAGTTTCGTTCATGACAAATTTTCATTCCGATAAAATATTTCTTCCGCTAGTGGTCTTGTAATATGGAACCATATGGAAGATGGAGTTTATGACAGTGTTTTCGAATAATTAGAGTGATCTATCGAAAATTTTTGGCCTAATCGTGTGAGAAAGAAATATGAAAATTGTACACGTAATTACAAGAGAAGTTCAACTCTAAGCGACTTCAAGTAGAATAAATCTCGAGCCGTGTTGGATCAGACACGTCCTATATTGAATGTGAAGCATATATTGAATGTAAATTCAATTAATTGTGTTACAAAAAATTTAATATTTATTTTCTTTCTATAATATAGGATTTTGAAACATATTTCGAGTATTATGAAACAGCATAAAGCAATTTTTGAAGTTTTATTAAGTTGAATTTTGTATGAAGAATTCTTCTCTAATATGAGACCAATAGCTATCCTAATTTTTATGTTTTATCAATCTTTTGACCAAGGTTATATGCGTTCAATGGCACAGACTTTATTTCAATGATATTTAGTATTTTATTGATACACATTGTATTTATTTCTTACGCCCGAATGGCTATGCTAGAGCCATCAAACGTCGGAAAAGAATTAAAAGAACGCAAACCAAATCTATCTCAATTTTCGTCACGTAAAGGAATAACAATCACCGAACATTTTTACTGCAACAATACGTCCAATACACTTTAAAACCACTCCACTATTCTACACAAAATATTTTCAACAGTGCTGCCGGTCAGAGCAATCGGTATAAACGTACCAAATTGCCGATCGAAATCACGATTATCACCGTGAAAATAGTGAAGAGAAATTTCGACGATTCAGATTGATTCATCCGTTGATTCAATACGTACGGTCAGTCACAAAAGTCTGCAAATATTTGTCATATTTAAATTTCAAATATTCAAACAGAAAAAGGATACATTTTGTTAGTTAAAATTTCTAGAATATTGACAATGCAATGAGGGAAGAGATGAAGGAAAGTTTAAAACACAGATACGAGGATTAGTAACAATTGTGTTAGAAATTTCTTCATCAATTTTAACAGTAACAATACTTACAATTATTTCTCTACAATATAACTTTAAGACGAAGAAAATTGTTTTCCTGGTTATAAAATATGATCAAACAGTTTCAGTTTAATTACTCGAGATGCAAAACTGCACAAATTTGAAAGTGATACGAATAACGATGACGAAACATTCAGATTCAAGCTCAAAAATTGGAACTAAAATAATTGGAACATTTTCCCACGCTCCAAAAGAGTTAAATACCATTTACCAATCACATCCCCTTTTCTCATCCCCTCCACCGTCTCCCTGTTTCTCAACTTCCTCTTTCGAGGGAACTTCCTTCAATTACAATGTTCTCTCCCACATTACAGGGACATATCGATTGTTTTAACCGAGATCGATCTTTTATCCGTTCGTTGGTCCTTCTAGCTGGTCCTTCCTCGGTTTTCATCTATATCCACGGTAATTGGTCAAGGCGGAATCGCTAAATCCGTCTAGCAGGGGACGGGATCAGACAACGTGTAAAAGCGTCCTGGAATATACCTGCGGCGGCAGTATGCGGTTTGATTTACGCGCCACAAAAGACGGGTATCACGTTTTCGATAGGCGGATTTCCCGATAATGGCAGGCGGATCTACATGATCCTGGCACCACGTGGGAATACGAATCCGGACATTATCGTGGCGGGCCGTTGCTCCTCAGTAACCCGGAATGGATGTGCGTTCCGTTGCACGGGCCGCGCCTACGTGATCGGTATTCATCGGACCGGCACATCACACCGACTCACAGCCCCCTCCTTCTCTCTAATGACACACGCATACGCACGCAGGCACGCGCTGCAATCGTCTTAAATTGATCATATTTTGTGAAATTAATCACACTGTACTCGGTACGCATAAAAAGATCTAGCTATTGTTGTTACTAGTTCACTGTTATTAGTATGTTTCAACTGATTATTTTTAGACAAACTTGTATTTTTGAATACTTCTTTCGTTTATTAAATATTACAGTGATATTATTACTAGATAAATTTAACTAATTGTTAGACAGACTATTATTATTCGACTACTAAATTAACCATATTTTGTGGAATTAATTGTACTCGGTACGGATAAAAAGATTTAGCTATTGTTGTTACAGTGTCACTA